CCCCAAAACCCCAAAACCCCAAAACCCCAAAACCCCAAAACCCCTGACTTCTGGGTTATTGATTTTAGCCACTTAATTGTCTTCATTTAGCTTGAGAATACTTGGGATGATCTTGCCAGGGAAAATGATACCTCCAATATCTATGTTTGGGTCTTCATCCCTTTCCACATTGTTTATGTCCAAGGCTAGAGGTTAGGAAATTAGCATACCTAGGATCGAAATGTATCTACCAGACATTGATTGTTTCAGAACGAAGTTGTAGTCACTAATAACGTCCTAGAGAATTAGAAATAGGGAGTACATCAAGGTCATATGCTATTGCTGAGAGTCTCAGTCTGTAATAGTCCAAGCTAAAGCGTTAGATAAGGGATATACCTTGTTTCTAGATTTTCGTAGAAGGGAATAGCGTCTTTTGCTTCTTCAGATGTTTCAAAGGCATCCTTTAGAGTAACTTTGCCCTCTTCATCTTCTAAACAGTCAGCCATAAGTTTTACTATTTTGTTGAGAGTTAAAAACTTTCTGGTAATACTTCTGATCAAATTCGAGTAAATTTGCATTTTGCTTAACAATTTTTGGAATCAATCCCAATTTAATCAATTTCTTAAACGTATCGACTACTTTGGGATTAGATTTGGTTTCTTCAGTGTCGATCTCTCCTTCTACATCAGCAAACTCATCTGATTCCTCTCCCTCTGCATCATCTTGCTCCGCCTTGTCATAGAGGTCATAAAATTTCTTCAGAAGGATACAGAGTGGATGATACTCTGTCTTGATAGGATAATCATGGGTCAGAACAGCATAAGCGTATATAGGACAACTACTCTCCTCAGTGCTCATGTTCTAAAAATTATGTTGTTAATAGTACTTTGAACTTTCTCCATGCGAAGGATTTTTCTCTGGTCAAAGCTTGGTGAATTCCAATATCAAACTCAACAATTGTGTTACTACTCTAGAATATTAAAGGGTTTCTATTACAGATCCTGCTAGGACATCGGGAGTATCCCCAATACCTTTGAAGTCAACGTTCTTTGCAGACCTGTATGGGGAAAAGGCCAACCTATTTCTTAGCCAGTAGTTAAGCAAGGATGGATCCTTCGATTTCATATTCTCTGGATAAAGCTATAAATAACCTTGAGATGCTTACTTTTGGAAACTTCTTTTGGTCTGGATCAAAATCTCCTAACTCTAGTGGCATCATATCTTCAATATCAACCTTGAAATTGAACACTTTGTCGAGATCTATAGCTCTTTGGAGGATATTCTTGGCAAAAACGAAATTTCCAGTATGCTCTTCACACGCAATTCCTGTTATACAGCAGATGCCATTAGGGAAATTCTTTTGTTTTCCAGAGTAGTATATTGATCTATCTTCCATAAAGATGGAAATCATCTCTGTAGCCTCTTGCTCGTAACCACCAGTAGACCTGTATGTGCAAACCAACTGCTTTTTGTCTTTCTTCCTGGCAAAAAGTTTGAAAAGAGGGACTAATTCCTTCACTGGAGAGTCATAAAATGGCACGAATTCTCTAAAAGTGGGTTATTTTAATGTTCAATTGCTTAATTGTCTTCTGAAAAATGAATGCTTACATTTTGGATTCTTCTTCACCTTTGAGCTTAGCAATATTCTGTAAGATTTCTCTCTGATATTCCTCTTCCTTCTCAAAGTCTTCAATGTAGATAAAATTTCCGAAATTCTGAGTCAGGAGTGTCTTGATGACTTGAGGATCCTCTCTATGCGAGAAATTCAGACGATTTAGAAGTTAAGGCACGTGAAATATCATTTTGATTACTTACACTATATTTTCATAAAACTGCTTGTTAACAAATGCTAGCTGAGAACTTGTAATATCTCTGAATTCAAGAAAAACAAGAATCTCCTTCAGGATGGTGTTTAAGAACTTCATATTTATAAAATATCGTGTCTATTTGATTTATAGTCGAGGGGTTTTGGGGTTTTGGGGTTTTGGGGTTTTGGGG